TCTTTTCCTTTGGATTTAGTCTCAGTCCAGCGCCTTTGATGTTGTGGCTGTTGTACTACAGCAGCAGTGTTTTGTTTTGTTGGCCCAATAAATGCACAAAAAGATGCTAAAAAGGCACACGAGACTTTTACACTATACCCCTACTGGACATCATTTTTCTGATTTAACATTCTTGAATGGTGACTCATTCATGCGGGTCTTTTTTTTTTCTCCATTTCCTGAGAATTCCTATACTTTTTGACCCCTCAAAAAGTTATTATTCATGTAAATACCCCCAAAATAGGGCTGAACACTTCCTGTTTTTAATTTTTGGTAATTATTTGTTATGACCGGAAAAATCCATCTGTCCGTTATCTGATCAAAGTTTTGCTATTCATCTTTTGTAAAAAAAAAAAAAAAAAATACAATACAATAAAAAAATAAAACATTTAAATGAAGTCCAAATAAAGACTGATCTTTAGTTTGGATTGATTTACAGCTTTGATGTCGCTGCTACTGGGCGCATGTTTGGTGGCGGTAGCATCAGATAAGAGCGGCGCGCTTGAGTGAAATCTAACCCGACGTTCACCAAAATAACACCTTGTGACGTGTCTTTCCATTAGGCGGTCTCTCTTATGTTGCTGCCTTACCACATGAATGTGGAGAGATAAGCCTCAAAGTTGATCCGACGTGTAAACAGCCGTCAAATATTGTGATGGAGAGCGGAGGAGGAAGAGCTACGAGGAGGAGGAGGTGCAAAAGTGTCAGTCAAAGCAGGAGAATGAGGAGGGATTCTGAATAATGGACATGTTGCGTTTAGATTTCTGTCATGTCTCATCTTGATCACATCTGGTTTCAATTTGGTTTGAATTGACAAGCTCCTTACGATGCAGATGCCTGAGATATCGCTTGTTTCAACATAATATATATATTTTTAAAGATTTGCTCATTATTAATGGTTGGATGATTATAGGATTTTGGAAATCTTTTATTAAGTTGCTTAAACCGTACACACTTGCAGCATCGGAGTAAATTGAATTCATTTGTGACAATTTTTATCGATTACTTGCTATTTTTGCCAGTTATTCGAGTTTTGATCATTTAGATGTTGCCTGCGGAACTTTGGAACACTTTCATGATGTAGGTAATCTGCTCCACTCTGGAAAAAAAGCTTTTGTTGAATGAAAAGTATTTTAAGTAGACTATACAGCTACCTAAAAAAAAAAATCCATTTATTTTTACAACCACTTGATGAATTAAAATGGAGTAATTTTTTTTCCAGTGTACTAATTTTGAACGAGCCAAGCAGTGTGTGCATCTGTAGTGGTGTCACACGAAGGGCTTTATGGGAATTATTCCTCCTGACTTGCTGCAGTGAATAGGTGTGATAATGAAGATAATGGCGACGGTGGGAAGGGGCCACATTGGTATGGGGGGGGGCGTTTTAGTGCAATGACAATGTTCATACAGTGCATCACGTTTATAGACGAAATACACTTTTTTTTTTTTTTTTTTAGCAATGAAACATCTGCATTTTGAATGTTGCTCTTGGCGATACTACGTGGAAGGAGCAAAAATTTGAAAAGCACAAGATGCATTATATAAATATCGACATGTTAATCGGGGGGTGGTTTACGTCAAGGCAGCCCCCCTCCTCATTCGTGTCTATTTTCAGTCGCAGGCGAGTCTGGGCCGCTTGTCCGGGTTGCCACGGTAACAGGCCGCCGTCATTTGTTCCAATTAGTCGGATCGCTTTCAATGAAGCGCTAAGCTAAACTAACTTCCGCGCACGCGTCACTTGACTGTAATTTCTCTACTGTTGATTAGCTTTCCGGCTTCTAACGCGCTTGAACTCTGATGAACTTTTAAGGTATACCCCCGCAAGCCCCCCCCACACACGCACACGCACACACATTACGGCCCCGCCCCCTAAGCTCCATTGAAAAGTTGCGGTTTGTTTACGAGAGCGCCACTGTGGGTCTTTGCCGCGTTCATGAACGGCCGGTGAATGAAAGACTCAGCCCTCCTCCTTCTCACTATCGTCTCTCCCAGGATCGCGGTGAAAAGGAAGGCACGCCCACCCAGTCCCCACTCGGACCCCCCACCCCCCCGCCTGCCCCGCAACCCCACCCGCGACCAAGTGATGCTAAGTCGGTGAGTAGCCGCTTTCATTTCCTCACTTTCCGCCTCCTTTTTGTGCTTTCTTTACGCTGGGAAATTCCAACAATTCCCCGTTTTTTTTCCTCGCTTGGGCCTGGAATGTTTCACTGGAGCTTGAAAGATGAAGACTCATGCGCGTTTGGTGTGCAAAGTGGCACGTACCCAACAAGAACACTGAACAATTTGGAAAAAGAGGAAATGTTTTCCTAAATATTGCAATTTAATATGCATTTTTTTTTCCAAGGTTCTCTTCCCAAACATATATTTACGTACACTTTGGCTTTGCTGAAAGCAAACTCCCAAAAATGACAGTTCTAAAAATGTTATGCCTATTTTCTAAAAAAAAAAAAATAAAAAAATGAATACTATTTTTTTCAAAATTACGTGCCTTTTTACTGGTGATATTGCATCTTTATTTCACTGTAATGTATGACACCACTTAAAAAAATAATTTAATTCTTATTATTATCTTTGAAGACTTTTTAGAAACATTTCTTTTTTTCTTTTATGCTTAAAATCTTACCACCAATGTAGAGAATATTTTTTTCTAAAAAGAAAATGTTTGTCAAGTCAAATCAAGGACAACTTTATTGTCAAATGTGTTGTATATGCAACATACAGCACAGATGAAATTTCTTCCCTCTCAAAACAACATGCAACAAGAGGAGCCGCTGCGGGTGCCCGCGCCGCCATCAAAAGAAAAGTTAACAGAATTTCGACTTCCCTCCCACAAAAAAAGGAAAAAAAACCTCCGAATCGTGCAACTTTTTTTCCCGCAAAATGTTTTTTTTTTCGTGTTACTGGTTTTCTAAAAGAGAAAAAAAATTCTAATCATTTTTCCCCAAAAATATTCAAGAAAATTTCATCCTGCCAAAATACCTTAATTTTTCTTGAAATCATATATGTTGATTTTACATAATATTAAAACCCTTTTTAGATGGTCATTTGTCATAATTTTATTCTTTTACTGTGGTGCCATCTTCGAGCAGCATGGGGACCCCTGGCGGTTCTCCAGTGGACTTGCTGTTGTTGTTACCTCCGTCAAGGCCTCCCCGAGCCTTGTTTGCTGATATTTAGTTACGGATGCTAAGAATGCGCCGGAAGAAAACAAGTTCTTTTCTCAGGCAAACTGGGGTACGGGGAGGCGGGCGGGTGACAGTGGAGTTGGAGGGTATCACATGGGGGTGGGGTGGTGTGGGGGTGGGGTTCTCTCTTCATTCTCCCTGGCAAACGAGCACGCCACCATTGTGGCATGGCCACGCCGCATTAGCGCGTCTTTACAAGGTGGGAGCATTCAGCGCACAAAGATGGGCACATCCTTGGACGGCCTCACACTGGGGGCCTTCACTTCTCAGCGGGGGCAGGGGGTGCGCGCCAAGAGGGTCCCCCCCTGCGTTAGCAACGCATGCGGGATGATGATGATGATGATGTCATTGCTTGGCTCTGACCGGACCGCCTTCCCGGAGACTTCATCATGTCCACTAGACTCATAAGGGCTTCGTAGACTTCATCTCAGATTTTCATTTGGATTTCATTTCATTTGGATTTCATTTAGACTTCAGGTGGAACTGATAGACTTCATGCGTACTTTAGTTAGACTTTGTAGAGTTCTTATGGACTTCATGGAGACTTAATTTTGAGTAAGCGTCATTGAGACATCATGAGGACTTCATGCACACTTCATTTTGAGTTCCTATAGACTGCAAGTGGACATCTTATGGACCTCGTTAGACTTCATTTTCAGCTCAGATTTACTACATGTAGACTTCATCTAGACTTCTTCGTGAGTTCACATAAATTACACGTATACTTCATTTAGATATCATCTAGACATGATTTAGACCTCACGTGGACTTGACCAACTTCATGTATGCTTCATTGAGAGTGTAGAATTTCCACTGGACTTCATTTTACACTTCACTTTCACTTCAGATGAACGACATCACTTCATCTTCATTTAGCCTTTATGAGGACATCATGTACAATTTATGTGGAGGTTATTTCGATTTCATTTTGAGGTCCTGTATGGATGTGGACTTCTCAGTTGACTTCAGGTAGACTTCATTTTGACTTCAAAAAGATTTCATGCGGTCTGGATGTGGACTTCATTTAGAGTGAATGTGGATTCTTTTAAAATGTATTTTGACTTCATGAGGATATTTTTGAGTTTCAACACTACATGTGGAGTTTTTTTCGAGCTTCATGTTTACTTCATTTAGAATTTCACGTCGATTTCCTTATCAGTTCACATTGACTACACGTAAGCTTCTTAGAGACTTGATGGAGACTTTGAGATTTCATGTAGCATTCATGGAGACTTCATTCTGACTTCATGAAGTTATCATGTAGACTTCATTTAGGACGCCATGTGGACTTCATTTAGGCTTCAATGTGGACTTAATTTACACTTCATAAAGACTTCATGTAATCTTGAAAAATTTCATAGACTTTGCTGAGCCTCCGTGTTGACATGAAAGACTTCATGTAGACGTCACATAGTTTGTATTGACTTTATTTAATCGGCATATAAAATTCCTTGGCTTGATGTTCACTTGCTACCCAGGAGGCTGCATTTACCCAATGTTATTTCCTCATCCCTGTTGTTTGTGTGTGCTCAGTGTCTTTTCTTTTTTCTTTTTCATCTCATCAAGTTCAACTTTTTATACGTCCGTGATTGATGTCCTACTCATTTGTTTCCCCCGGGGGATTTTTTTAATGTTTTTTTTTTTTTTTTTTTTTGGATGGGGCTTTTATGAACTCCATCGCTCAGCTCAAGTGGGTCTGGCGGCCTTTGTGTTGGGGGTTACGCAAGGGGGGGGGCGCCGACTATAAATCGCTCGCTGATCTTTGGAAGCTGCGTCCGAGCAGACTGGATTCCCGGAGGCTAACTGGCTAATGATTAGCCACCTCCTCCGGTGATTCTCGGAATCCCGTCGCCGTCCTTCCTTTATATGCCGACATGGATGACATTTTAGTCAAGTGGATGCTAGGTGAGGCTAGTGTGTTAGCGTTAGCGCAATGTATTAGCTTTAGCGCGACGGATGAGAAGATATTTGAAGCCGAGGACCAATTTGTTGCTGCTGGTGAGTGTTCGCGTGATTATTTTTCAGCGCGGATTAGCGGTTAGCGGCTCGAGCCTGCTTTCTAATCAGAGCAGGACCGGAGACTAATCAGGAGACCAGCAGCAATAAGTTCAGTTTGTCCACAGTTGAAAGACTTTTGTGTCCATGTTTCAGCTGGGCACGTTTTGAAAGGTGCTGACATGCTAGAGAATAAATAGCATATGTGACATGGAATTGACTAAAGTCTCATAATTTAAGTTGACGTCTGATATTGTTCTATACACCGTGATCATTTTCAGTTGACATTTTTAATGAACACACATGTACTGAACAAAAATAAAATCATGACTGTTGGTTAAAAAAATGCACAAATAAACTAAGAAACTAATTGAAAGCAATATTGCCACAAGTGAGCAATCAAAAATGACATTGAAATGCTTTATTTTTTTTTATTTTATTTTTTTTACTACACATGAATTCACTACAACATAGACAAAGATAATGCCATTCAAACCACCCAGAAAGTCTGGAAAAAAATGGCCTATCTTTCTCTCTACTGTAAAGTTAAACAAATATTCAATTGTAAAGTATAGTAAAACATATAGTAAGCATTAAGGAAAAAAAAAGTAATTTTATTCATTGTATGTATATATATATATATATATATATATTAGATGATTGATCCAAAATTTATTCTGCCATATATCAGAATCTCCATCACCCTAAAAAAAAAAAAAAAAAAATCCATATTGGTCCAGCCCTTATAAAGAGCTATTAAAAAATACAAACAGCGAACCATAACTGAGGTGTTTTGCTTTGGCTCTCACCATAGAGTACTCCACATGGATTGGATTGGATACATAAAGAGAGGTGTGCACATAAAAACGAGCATTTAAAGTGTATTTGGTCAGTTTGAACAAAAGCCAAACGCCTTTACAATAAGAGTTCTTTCCCACTTGTTTTATTGTCGCACTGAGGGTCAAATGACGGCTGTCTTAATTGTCCTTTTTTGATTTTCCCCTCGGTGCCATCAGAGGCGTTCCTACGCAGGAAGTCAATGAGGCGTCTGTCAAAATAAATCAGTGGACGTATCAAAAGAGGAAACAAGGACTCGCGTGAAAGAAAAGGACACCGTTGCCCCATGTGTTTTTGTTCTTCTCCTTTGCACATAATCAATCAGTTCCCTTTCATGCCTCTTCTCCATTTTTTCTTTCCTTTTTTTTCCCATTCCAGGGGAACAAAAGGTTTGATTTGGACCTCCTCCTCCTTGCAATATCCATTTTCATTACAAAGATGTTTGCCAGACACACACACACACACACAAAGAAAAAAAAATCAAAGGTAATTCGATGGCTCAAGGACAATCACGTAGAGGCTGTCTCAATGGATTTGAGATGCATCGTGACACCTTTTAGGGAATTTAACGCAACAATATTGACGAGTTGATTAAAAAAAATGCCATCATCTCAATGCAAAACATGTTACAGTGAGCACAATGAAAAATAGCGCTAGCATAAATGTATATACAAATATTTTTAGAAGAAATGGAACCCAAAAACTTCACAAATAATGAAAAAGAGGTGCGCAACTATTACACACACACACACACACACACACACACACACACACGCACACACAAATCTACTATCAGTAGAGAGAACTATGTGTGGCGCTGTTGCATTAGTAGTTCCACAGGGCTCAATTTTGAGGCCGCTGCTCTTCTCCTTATATTTTCTGCCCTTGCTTCTACTCCGAGAGTGCTTAGTTAGTGAGATTTCTGACCCGTTCAGGAAGAAAGATGGTTTCTCAGCAAAACCGTTTTCATCGTTTCAGAGACATTAAAACCTCGATGGCCTTGGAAGTTTTTAAATCCTAAAGGAAAGAAAACTGAAGTGACAGTGTTTGTTCCCAGATGCCCTTGTTGACAGTATGCAAAGTCAACATTTTTCAGTTGGATTGATTTTTAAATTGAATCAGCAAAGCTGTGCAGTTGTCAAGTCCATCTTTACCTTGGACAGCTGGCAAAGGTGAAGCCCTTTTCATGCACAAGACTACATAGAAACTGGAATCCACAGCACTATTACATCACAAATGGATTACTGTAATTCACTTTGTTTTGGAGTCAGCCAGTCCCCCGTAAACATCTCCAGTTGTCTCATGTTTTCAAAGTGCTCTATAAATAAAGTTGAGTTGAGCCAAGTTGTCCAGTTCATGTCTTCTTTTCTCCTTAACCCAAAAAGATGATTTGGCTCACAGGAGGCTGTTGAAATTCTTCTCCGATTGACGCCTCATGTCAGCATTAGCATTCAGCAGCCAACCGGATTACTGTCCCGCTCCAGAATGACCTCCTTTATTTTATCCAATGGCATTTCTATGCAGCATTAATCAGAAGGAGCTTTTAGGGCGGACATTTTTTTTTCCAACTTTCAATCTTATTTTCTCCCAGCCGCATTGTGTGACTGCTAATGAGATCTTAGGAGGAATCTTCCATTTCCTGCCAGGCTTGATGGCATTTACCATGAAGAACAGATTGTGATGACACTTGTCATTTCTTCTTGTTTTTGTTGTTTTTTTTTTGTCAGCGGGTAAAGTCGCTGGCGTGACGGGTAACCAGCCAATGTGTTGTGAGACCGCAAAGCAATTAAACGTGGCTCCAAGCTGTTTGGGTTTTCAAGATGACATCACATTGGATTTAATTACATATGAATCATAACCATAATCATTTTGATAGCAGATTAGCGACGTCAAGCTTCACGGTCTTGCTTTTGTTTCGTGCACCGTGGTTTCCTCATTAGGAGTTTATCAAATGGAGCAAACATTTCATGACATTGACTACATTTTGGCATTTAATGTGAGGAGGGTCCTCCAATTAATTAGACCAGCTACTTTGGCTAGCATCTCACTTATCGCTACATGTTTGAGCAATGAAAATATATCCACTTAAAGCTTCCAGTGGCGGGATTATCTCCCACCCAGTCATTCCTGGACTTTCCACATCGTGACAAGAGGCGCTAATCACCAGCTAGCTCACAAGCTAACAGGCTTGCAGGGGTCCTTTTGGCTGGTAGATGAACTACTTTGTACTTATGTAGACTAACGGGGATGGACTATTTTAGACTGAAAATTGGTCAGTTTTGGCCTAGAGGCAGACGAGGTCGGTAAATCCACGCTACGTGGACTCTGGGATTTTTGGTCCAGTAAGGAGGTTCAGTAGATGAGTTAGATGGTAGGCCCTTTCATGGACAGTGGTTACTACAGCGGACAGCTTATCATGTTATCAGGTTACAGGGTGCATGAAAGGGTCAAATAAAAAGACAGTGTAGGCAGTGTAGTTATTCTGGCACAGGTCAGAAGTACTCGAGATGCGGACTACAGTTTTGTTAGTCCAGCTGGTAGTTGACTCGAGTCCTTGTCCACTCAGGAGGTTTTATTACCAAGTTCCGCCGGTCAGAGAGTCCAGTTGGCAGCTTCGGCCTTGAGTGGTTGTGCTCTACTCAGGAGAGCCAGTCCAAACAGGAAGACTGTGTGATCTCTGGAAGTTTCCGGTTCACAGGTTCTCTAGATGTGGACTACATTTTGTCATAAAATACTGGGATAGTCCAGTCCAGTTAAATTTTCTGGACTCAGTATGGCACTATGAACTGTGAGTTCTGTTTAACTGTTAAGAAGCCAGGAGCAGTCACAGTCCAACTCGTGTGATTGTGGAGACGCTGCTTCATGAGGCCAAGAATGACAGACGGCCGTACGAACATCACAACCTTTTGGTCCGCTCTCATTTCACACCGCTACAACAAAATAAATCCATCTGCTAAATTGACTCACTTGTGTGTGTATGCGAGTGAACGTGTGAGTTTGTGTGTGTGCATGTAGCTGTGGTTGTGTCTGTTTGTGTACGTACGTGCTTGTGATAATGTGAGTGTCTGCGCGGATGTAGAAATGTAAACATCATTGCATTTGTGTGTGCGCGCGCGTGCGTAGTCGTCCGGCAAACTTTTAAGTTAAGTTTTAAGTTCTGCAGCCAATCCGATGGCCGCAGTGGAGTGATGAATTCCTGCTGCTAAAATCCAATAAAATGGATTAGTCCTGTTCAGCTCCCTGATCAGCTGTTTGTGTGCAAACGAGATCGATGGCGTGTCGGCGCCCCGCCGCGCTCTCCGTGTTCCAAGCCGTCGCCGGTGACACGTCGCTCGCATTAGCTGTCGCCGCGAGCATGAAAGCGGCGGCGGCGGCGGTGAAATGACAGCTCTCTGAATTGACCTGGCTGACTTTTGTTATCCTTACTGCAAAACTTGACAGGAGGGTGAGAGCCTAGAATGTATCATTTTTTGGGGGGGGGGCAGTATATGTTATTTTTTAGGGGTCAAGTATTGCGTTTTTGTTGTGCCAAAGTGAAAATTTGGTGATCATATATTGCATTCCTTTGACAAATTCTTCCAAACAAGTGTGGCCTGAACATAAGTCGGTCAGTAATGATTCAGTTTACATCAACGATGCAAACCAGCTTGTGGGTTTCGCACTTTCATTTTTGTCATGTTCCATGAAACAATGATACGTAAGCGTGAACTGCACTTCTTAAGCACCAAAGCCACTAATGTGCACAACGTGTGTGCACTTTACTGGCAAAATATACAATTTCCATTCAAAAATGGCAACTTCTTGGTGCCAATCAATAAATACGAAGCTCAGTGTGTGTCAGGTGGCCTTATGCAGTGTTCTTAATCTACTACCTCTGTTGTTTTGGGGAGGTTTTTTAAAATTTTTTAGCTGCGGTAAGCTTTCCCGCCGCCGTGTTTTATCTGAGTCAAGTCAATTTGCCGGCTGTCTTGTAAGGCTGCCCCATAAAATAAAACGTCGCACTCATCCTTCAGCAGTGATCTGCATGCCAACCACTTTGCGGCCTAATAGAAAATGTATAATGCGCCCTTGTCGGCGGCCAGGCTCATGAATACAAGCGCTCTCGCTGGCGCACGCTTCCAGGCCACTCGTAAACAGCCTGATGGAATCCACTCAGGTTTGTGCCCGTATTT